CGTGAGGAAGCTTTGCGACCATTCGGATTTAGCCGAGCGCTCTTCCCCGAAGATGTCCAGGTAGTTGTAGTTTCACCTGAGAACAAAATGGAACCCAAACATAGATCAGGGGCGGGCAAAATACAGACCATGGACTGGATCCGGCCTGCTAGCAGGTTGGATCTGGCACGTGGACGGGTGCCCACCAGTTGACTGTATCCAACCTGCAGCTGCCCCTGTGGCACTCCACGTAGGGATGAGCCCTGCCTGCTTCCACCCAGGGCAGCCCACGCCACACTCCCACCCGTGCCCGCTGACTGCCCTCACCCTGGCCCAGTGTGCACAGCTTCCTGCCAGGGCTGTTTCTGTTGTGGCGGCAGCTGCCAGGGTACTACTCATCTTCCCCCTGCCTCCAGTGGCTCTTCCTCCTCCTACTACTACCCCTGCTGCACTGCTCCAGGTAGAAAATAGCACAGAGGAGGGCAGCAGCCATGGGGACATGGGCATTACAGACCCAGCCAGGCGGTAGGGGGGAAGCTGCAGCTGGGCAGCTATGACCACAATGTATGGGGCTCCAGCTCCAGCTGCAGCTCCTGGCCACCTTCCACCCACTCAGTCTCTTGCAGATGGCTGCTCATCATACCAGGAGGGTGGAGTGCATAGATAGCAGCGAGGAGCTGGAGACGGAGTCCTGCAACTGGAGCAGGAGCTGCCCAGCTGCAGCTTCTCCCCTGTCTGGCTGGGCATGTGGTGCCTGGCACACGTCCCCATGGCTGCCACCCTTTCCCACACTACCTGTTGCCCAGAGTTGTGCAGCAGGAGGAGGAGCCACTGGAGGCATGGGGTGCCAAGCAGTACTCACGCTGGTGCAGCCTCACCAGGAGCAACTGTGCAGGGCCATTGGCAGGTGCAGGCAGGAGTGCAGCATGGGCTGCCCTGGACAGGAGCGGGTAGAGCTCAGCCCCACACAGAGTGTCACGGGGGCAGTAGTGGGGTGGACTGCACCTGCACCGCACTGCCTAGGTAAGCTCTGCACATGCCTCCTATCCCTCCCGCACCCCTCACCTGGTTGGAGCCCAGGACCTAGTGCACAGGCAGCCCCGCCGCCTGAGCCTCCCCACCCCCACGCACCCCTCCACGCCCCCGCACACACCATATAAAAGAGGAAGACTTTATTTTGAGTTATTATGCAATCACCTATATATACACTGCTCAAAAACACATGAATGAGGACAAAAATGATTTTTCGAAATAATTAAAATACGTTATAGTAGACATTCGATTTTTAGTATGTGATTTGTTTTTTATCTATGATTTGTTGAAATGATATCTTCTGAAAGATTTTATGTGGGCAGCCCTCAACAGCTTACCAAAATGTGTTAAGTGGCCCTCCAGCTGAAATAATTGCCTACCCCTGGCATAAATTAATCACTCACTGTAAGTAGCTGGAATTCAGGGATAGCCGCTCTGTAGGTGATTAGGAAGGAGAATGAGCTATTGTTACTTAAACCTTACTGGAAGGTTTCATTTCATTGTTGGAGCTCTGGAGTCTGTCCTAAATTCTCTATTTTCCTGTAGCTGTTTAATTAACTCTTCTTTACACTGGAGAATTGCTCCAGTTGCAGCCAGCAGCACAGCTACACCAGAACAAACCCCTAGCGCAGATAAACAAATTATGTTTAGACCAGTACAAATTAGTTCTGTTTGAAACTAAAGTAATTTATGGAGCTGCAAATCATGGTATGGGGCTGTTTTGCCCCTCTACACAAGGACTGCATCTATGCAGCTATACTGATTGCTGTCCCTTGAGGCATATCTTCAGAGAGTACAGTGCCCTAGAGCAGTGGCAGGCAACCTTTTTAAGCTCTGGGCATGAACAGCCTGGTTCCAGTCCCACATGGGCCAGATGGCTTCTGCAGCACATACGCAGCAGGGGGCTTTCCCTGTGCCTGCCCCATTGCTGGGGCCAGACAGCTGGGAACTGTGCCACTGCTGCTTCTTCCGGGCCCTGCTCCCTGAATGGGGTGTGAGTGCAGCTTCCAGCTTATGGGGAGCTGTGCCTGGGCCGGGCAGCCGAAAGCCACTTCTGCTGCACAGCTGGAGGCACAGAAGAGGGAGGGCAATGAAAGCAGGGATGGAAAAGTGGCAGCAGCACGGACTGGCTGGAAGCTGCACTCAAACTGCAGCCAGGGGTGACTAGAGGGTGAGTGGAAGAAGCAGCAGCAACAAGGGCATTGCTGGAAGTTGCTTTCAAAATCTGCGGGCTCTGTGGGCTAGATCCAGTGGCTCCGTAGGCTGGATGCAAGCCTTGAGCCTTATGTTGGTAACCCCTGCGTTAGAAGGAGAATTTTGCCTGGTGTCACACATGTTAAGTCCAATTAAGCACTACCTTTCCTCTAGGTACGTTTGGTACCAGGTTTTCAAGCTGTTTTACCTCCGTAGCTCTTCTGTCCACTGATAGTATCTCACTTCTGCCCCCTGACTGAATTGTGTGCTCGGCTTATTAACCTTCTACACAGCATGGGCGTATGTCTGTGATTGCAGGGGACTGGACCCAGTCACCTAGGAGTACTGTGTAGTCCTGCTTTCCTAAGTACTGTGTCAGCATTAATGGAGATCTGGTGCTTGGTACCCTCTGACTTCACATGGCCTTGGATTGAAGTGGGCATTCACAAAGCTGTGCCCTGAGCTAGACTGATGGTGGCCTGTGTGTGAGTATTCAAAGTTGGGATGCTGAGCGAGCTTGGTTCCTCACTGAGTCTGGCAATGACTGGGGGCCCTCTGTGTGTTCGAGTGATCTCATCTGTCTAACACTGACAGGGAAGTCCAGCCCTCACCAGGAATATAGTGTTGTAAAGAAGGAAGCAGGTGCCAAGGCTTGCTGTGACAGTATCTGTATCTGTGCACGTGGCTAAAAATACAGCTAGAAACAGTGAGTACACAAAACACTGACAGTGTAGTAGCCGAAAAATGCTGCATAGCACTGCATCACAACATGGATGGTGTAGTACACTACTGCTCAGTATTATTAGGCTTCTGCGCAGTAGTGTCACCTAAAAGACGTTCACTGGCACTACAACGCAGTAAATCTGGTTACTGCACATCTATTTAGTGCACATCTATAAATGCGCAGTAATGACTACACAGTAGCATCTCATGTATACGCACCCAGTAAGTCCATAGTGGCTTCTGAGATCTAGGTCTAGCTGTTCCCAATTCATCAAAGCTGGGTTGTTCAAAGTCTCCAAGCTCTAGTGATGCAGTTCAGAGTGCATGATGCTGTACAAACTTCCCTGCTCTAACTTAACATTTGAACTGAATTGAGACCATAGTGAGCATAATTTGCTGTTTCAGCAGATCCTGACCTCACTTTCCTCCTAATACAACAGCAGGAGCCTTCCCTAGCTACTTAGTGAACAATGGGCATTGCCACAATATCATTTTAAACAAGGCTTTCTGCAGCTTTGACCTGTAAAATGATAGAAAAATCCAAACTCAGGTGTTCACATGAATGAAACACTAAAAGAGGAGCTGGGATTAAAGAGGCCTGTTTGTTTCCTCTGGGCAGTTTGAGTTTCCTTCAGCTCCGAATCTCCAATCAGTGCAGGAATGTTTAGAACACGATCATTTTCCAGGGACTGAGGTTCCAACAGTCAAAATCAGGGGTCTAAAATGACCACGAAGTGCCTGCATTTAGGAGACCAAGAAGGTGTCAGTATAACAGCAAAGTGAGACAGAAAGTAGGCACTAAAATAGAAGCTCATTAAGCACTGACCTTGGTATCTTTGCTAGAAGCCCATTGCTCAGCCACAAGCGTTGGGTGTTTAACTCTGTCTTTCCTTTGCCCACATTAGGTAAACTTCAATGAGCCACTTTCTATGCTGCAGAGGCTGACTGAGGACTTGGAGTACCACGAGCTGCTGGACAAAGCTGTCAAGTGTGAGAGTTCCACAGAGCAGATGTGTTTTGTTGCTGCATTTTCAGTGTCTTCCTACTCAACGACTGTCCACCGCACAGCAAAGCCATTCAATCCTCTGCTGGGAGAAACCTATGAACTAGACCGACTAGATGAATTTGGCTTCCGTTCACTCTGTGAGCAGGTATGGTCAGGGATGGAAGGAAAGGAATAGCTCTTCCTTTCAGCCTGGTATCAGAAACACCACCACATTCTTCAAGTGTGTACAAAACAGCTGTGGCCTGTGGGCTGCTTCATTCCTCAGGAAGCTCTACTTAAACTAGTCCTGCTTCTGTTGAAAGTAGTTAGTGTTTTGCTGTTGATATCAATGGAAGCAGCAACAGATTCCACATAAGTAGAAAGTAAAAGCAAAATTAGTGCTCCCCAGTATAACAGAGTGAAAATGATGAGTAGGAGGGGCTGGGACAGGAGCCTTTACCAAGAAGTCAAATCCAGAAGGAGACCTATCAGTCTTAAACAGATGGACATGTGTAATAAGCTGTGCCAGCACCAGGTATGGGACAAACTTACTCATGGAGCTTTGCAACTAAGTAATTCTGAATTGTACACTCTTTTAAATCATGATTAATGTTTGATTCCAAACACGAAGAACCCTGGGTTTCCCTGGTGAAAGGATGTTTCATGATTCTTTAGAAATTAACATCAGGATAAGGTCTTTTTTCCCCCCAATCTTCCATTAAATCTAATGCAGAACTAGAGGTTTCTTTTATAGAACATAAAAATTGAGGCATTTCCACCATTGCATAAAGCCAGCTGCAACTCCAGCTTCTGTTCCTAGTATCTGATAGGAGCTCTCGTTCAGTTCCTATGGGTTGACACAGTACCAGAGTGACTTTCAAAAACAATTGCTGGTTTATTTGGTGACCTCTATGAAGGCTTATTGGATCCCAGGAGTTTTGCTGTGAACCACAAGGATGGACTTTCCCCCTGTTCTGTGTGTGCGCTCAGTAATGCACAAAGAATAGGATTTGCTTTCTCTTTGCATGCTTATATGACAGTTTTTGAGCTATATAAGTGCCAAAAATCCCACACGTGGAGGTAGTGATTCTGTTTCCCTTGCAGTGTGGATGTGTAAATGTGCAAGTGTAGACTGAGCATGTTCACTCAGCTACATACTAGACCAGCATGAATGCTGCTATGTACATGCACATGCATCCATTGTGAATGCCTAGTCCCAAATGTACAAGAGGCCAGAAACCCTTGACTAGCAGGTTTTAAAGGATGGGAATCCTGCCATGTTTTAGCCTCAGTGGCTGAGTAGCTGAGTTATTAAAGCACTCACTCAAGAAGCTAAGAACTAACATTGTAGGTCTCCACTATCCAGAGAAGAATAAAACCTGTATCTTTTAGATTTTTAAGTCTAATGCTTTAGGCACCAGGCCACAGGTTAGATGTTATCCAAAGTTGCTGTCTAGTGCTCCTTTTGAGGCTTGCCCCAAAGCAGCCATGAGAGAAGGTGCATGGGGCCCTGAAGAAGGGAGTCTAATATAGGCTGTGTGGCTTAGTGAGCTGGCTGCTAGTGTGGAAAAGAGCCAGTCCTGGGTTCTGTCCTGGAGCCTTGCTTCAAATGGGGAAGATACTTCTATGTTGGCTTCCATCCATTTTATCCAATGACCAGTAAACACAAGGGACAGTGGTTCATCCTCAAGAAGGCCTTTGGAGAACATGCAGGTGATACCAGACCTGTATTGTGGTAGTTCATGCAGTAGGTTAGGAAAGCAGAGAGATGACCGCTCAAATCCTTTCTGGGTAAAGGGGGTGGGAGTTTAGAACTCAGGTCCCTGGATGATTGCTTTAGCCACTCAGGCTAAAAGATGGGAGGTACTCTCTGTCTTAAGATTGGGTATTATGTACCTAGCTGCATATGTGTCTGGCCAGTGCATAGCCCTGCTGAACATGCTCAATCTATACACACAGGCTTAGCTTTTTACACTTCACATTCTTTGAATAAAATGCCTACACAGCAGCAGGGTCATTTCTGTTCCCCTGTGGGCAGGGACCAGGGCTAGAATCCAGAGTCCACTGCCTTCCCAGGACAGTGGCCATTTCACTGAGCAACACTCCTGTTTGTTTGCATTCATTGGAGCTATGGACACATGTTAGGTTTGTGGCACTACAGACACCCTTATAGCACTACAAAAAATAAGTGTCTGGACATTCATGCCATTTGTAGAGCCACAAAACCAGTGGATCTGCCACAAAAAATGTTCCTCTTTCAAAGAGGGAGTTTGCTGTAGTGCTTTGTTTTGTAGTGCCTCTTTCAGTGTGTTGACAGTTACAGTTAGAGACCCCAGCATCTCACAGTCTTCTCTTCTTCCTCCCTCCCCCCACAAAGTGCCTTCCTGACAGCCCCAGCCTTTAAGGTGACTTTGTAGTGCTCCAACCAAGGAGCTACAAACATGTGCATAGCTGAGGCACTTTGACATGCTATAAATGAAGTTGTGTATGCAGCCTGAGCCGGTGATGCTATGCTATGGTTAGAGCATGTTTCTGGGAAGTAGGAGATGTAGGTTCAAATCTTTCTGGGAGAGGGCTAGAATCTGTGCTTCCTGTTCCCTTGGCAGATGACATATCCACTGGGATTAAAGGTGGTACATCTTATTATGGGATTGGAAGTTGTTTAGCCTTCTCAGCCTTCTTTAAGTCCCTCTTAGCAGCGACTTAAACAGCAGTCAGACTACTCAGTTGCTCCCATTGTTGACATCAGGGAAAAGATATATTGGTGTAGAGCAGGCTTTAACCTGTGGTAGGAGGTAGGGGGTTCATCTACGCAAGACACTTACTGCACAGTAGACTACTTAGCTGTTCAGTAAATGTCTTGGTGTCTACACATGCATCTTGATTAGGTTGAAGTAAACTAATTTACTCTGTAGCAGGATAGTACTTGTGAATGCAAGTACTATTCCTGGTGCGGAGTGAAAAACTGCAGCAGAGCACGTGTAGATGCTATCCCAACTGATTGGGGCATGAAGATGCTTCAGTGTGGGGGCTGCCTGCTGGTTAGTCCCACACTGAAGCACCTCATGCCCCAGCCAGCCCCTCCGCAGCATATTGAGCCAGGGGAAGCAGCCCTGGGCTGGCAGACTGAACCCCTGGATTCCCTGCGAGCTGGGGCTGCTCCATTCCTGCTCAATGTGCTGTGTTCCCAGGCGCACATTCAAATGGCAACAAACTCTGGAGTTAATTGCTTTGCATTAATTGCACATGTAGACACACCCACTGAGTAGATGTGGAAGCCAGTAAATAGTGAACTGCCTGCTATGCTGCCTGCTTCCACACATCTCTTCAAGCTAGAGAACAGGAAGCCTGGTCCAACATTACTCCTTTGCAGCCAATAATGCATTAAAAAATCCCAGACAGAAATTAGCGATACCTCTGTGTGGTGAACCCTTTGATAAAAGTTGGCATTGGTTTCACAATACAGCCCCAGTACCCTGCTCTGGACAAGTACAACCTTCAGCCAACCACAACTCCTCTGATGCAATATCTACTTTACCTATAAGGCAATTCCTAAAAGCAAACCTCTGAAATATCATTTGCTAGCCATCAGTAAAGACCAGTCATAATTACAACTTCATGATTCTCCCAACAAGTGTTAAGTAGAGGCACACCGAAGTAGAGGTGCACTGAGGGAGGGGGTGGGGGCTGCGGCAGGGGCAAAGGCCTACAGCAA